CCTTTAGGGAATATTGCAATTTCCATAGCTTGTGATGCTAATTACAGTCATTATCAGAGAGTCTAAAAAGTTCTGCGTATTTTTTGTTCTCTGCTCATGGTAGCTGGGCTGTGAGACAAACTCAAGGTGAAATAACAATGCTAAGCAAAAAAAAAAACCAAACCCAAACCCTAACCCCCGTTTATTTTCAATACTACTACCTAATTATTTAAAGTTTCTATAGCAATCAACTCAAAAAGCCCTCTCCTCTCCCATGTACATACACACACACATAATCCAAGGTATATTCTTTTCTAAAACGACAACTTCTATCCTTTGAATGCACAGGAAAAGCAGAGCAGCACAGGGGTTTTAATGGGTTCTCTCCTTTTAATTCTTACATACTTTTATTTTTTTTAGATTTAGCTCCTTTTTCCTTTACCTCTTACACCATTCTTCTTTCAATATGAAGAGTTTTCTAGAGATTAACTGCGAAGAAGACTCACGTTCAACAAAACTGTCCACACGCGGACAATAACACACAATTCTTCCTTGGTCTCCTAGTTTTTGACTGTTTTTATCTCAAAAGCTTTTATGAAGTAAAAAGAATGCCTCCTGAATCACTCACCACTCTGGCTACGTGGCGTTCGTATGGCCCAAGGGCTGGATCCGAGCAAGGGTTTATAACAGTGACTGGTGCAACGTCTGAGTTTACACCTTCTAAAGACGTCAGGTGCCCCGAGAAGGGTCTGCAAGCGCTCCCCGGCACGGGCAGCAGGCAGCTGCCTGGCGCTGGGCAGCGGGATATACACCGTATAGGAGGGTGCCTTAAATCCTGCGCTTCTCTGGTCTACGTGCACCAAAGCCAGTGTGTCCAAAACACAGGAGGCGGCGGCACCATCCTGTTTTTCTACACTCACACAGCAGTCAGAGGCCTGAGTTTACTCCTTGCCTGAGGAATTTTGAACCCGCAGCTCTTCCTTTCCAGGAGAATACTCCAATGCCACAGGGGGGACACGTATTCTGTACTCTGTTGAAGCTCGTCCCTTAGAAAGATTAACTAAATCAGGGAGAGAAGGCCAGATAATTGTTTTATCCAGTGACTTAAATAACAAATTAAACAGAGTGCTGGAGCTGGGGCTGCTCACAAACAATCCCGCTCATCTGGCGTCTCCGGTCACTCGTTTCCCACTTGCAGTCCGACCAGCCTCTCATTCTTCCCTGCACCGTGGAGCCCCATCAGAAGGAGAGGTGGAGAACGCCGCCTTGCCAACTCACACATTACAGCAGATCGTCTGTTGATTACATCTCTCCTCTTCCAAAAAACAACTCTAAACAAATAAGGCATAGTATTTGCCTGGGACAGCTTCCACAAACAGTAAAATGCTCAAATAAAAACACTAGGTAGGGAAGTCTGGCCAAATGATAAGGCTCCTCCTCTCTGCTTTTTGATACACGTCAGCAGCTACTCTCATGGAATCTTGACATGCTAAACACAAAGTATTTTACTGTCTGTCTATGTTATCCTACCTATTTTACTTTGAGTATTTAAATGCCACTGTAGCGATCAGGGAATCTTCCTTTTTTCCTGTAAATTTTTTATTAGGGACCTCCTAATCTCTAAATATTTAAAGCTTTATTTGTTTGACACATTGAATTAATTGACTATTAATACAAAACCTCCCACAAAGAGCAACAGATATACCACCTCAAGCTGTGATATACCACCGCAAGCTGTGATTTCTTCGCTTCTCACAGCCTAAGGCCGCGATTCTGCAATTACACACATTTATCTGTACTACGGTGAAGAATCCCAACGGGACAACTCACACTAGTGAAATTAATCACATTCGTGAAGATCTGAGTCTCGCAGTTTTGGCTTGGGACTGTATTTGGATGAGACATCTTCGGGGAACCAAGACCTGAAGAAAGCAGCACCAGCAGTGCAGTGTTTGATGCTTCTCATGAATAATGTCAGTACGGTAAACCTGAAGGCGAAGGCGTTCTCGTACTTGAAACTCAGGCTTGAGAAATCGCCCTGAACGGCTCACGCCTACAGCCCTGCCACCGGCTTCCTCTTGACCCACACAAAACCACTGCAGATCTGGATGCCTCCGTCTGTCCATCTGTAAAATCAGGTGAATGACATGCGTATATAGCACAAAAGCACGAGGATGAATAATTTAAAAGTGTCTCCAAAGAGATTTTAGATCTTTATACGGAATCCCATGGAAAAGAAGTGGTTATGAACTGGTTAGTATCGATGAACCACAGCCCCAGGAGAAGGTATAAAACCAAAATCTGTATACCCATCAGTACTCCCTTAATTAATCCCACTGTCCAAGCAGGCTTAGTGTATTACATTTCCTAATTAAAGACCACGCATCCCAGGACACTAAGAAATTAACTGTCCCACAAAGTTTATTGTGACTATACCGCGCTCTTGCGAATCGGTATACTTGGAACTTTTTTGTCCTTAAACGTCATTGGACTGCCGTCCTTTGTGGCACAAAGAGGGTAACGGCGGTATCTGCCCTCTTGCCGTCCGTTACCCGCGCTCCTCACCCGCTGTTTCGGCAACAGAAAGTTCTCGGGGCGCCCAGCCGCGCTGCGCGTTTAGGGCAGTCTCACTCTCTCCTCAGGAACGGGCGGATTAACCCCTACCTTCCGACACCCCGGCGCCGAGCCAGCACGGCCGCCGGCGAAACCCCGCCCGTGCCGTCTCCGACCCATCT